TGGGAGGCAGACCAGGTGATGATTGCACGCAGGTCGGTATTGAACTTCACAGTCCTTGCAGACGAAAACGTTCCGAAGCCTTACTAAACTATAAATACCGTCAAAGAGGGTTACTTATTAAAAGTTTCACGATCACTTCCTTGTAGCACGTCGTGCTGTTCCATTATAATCACGGTAAGTCATTTTTAATCAAGTTCTACCTATTCTATACCGCATGTCTCATTAATACTGTAGTGAAATGAGTAATGAAAATCAGATACGAACAGATTTTAAGTGTTCGCAGTGTGCATAGAATCAGGTTCTCTGACATTTCCTGGACTTTTGTGAGAGAGTGCACCTGCTGAGCAGGGACAGACAGACCTTTTTCGGAAAGACGTAAATGTTCTGTAGACTTGAGCATTACAAGGTCCTGCACGTTGGTTTTATTTTGCGATGTCAGCATAAATAAAATAAAGAGTAGGATGCGTCACTCACGATTCATAGTACACATTTTAAAGGCGTCTTTGTAATGTAAAATATGAAGAACTACTTGTACGGTTGTAGGTGACATTTTCACTGGCGATCAAAAGTAGGAGCGCAGTGGTGGCACTGTGGCTGGAAGGTTGCCGGTTCAAATTCCGCGGCTGGCAGAGGAATCCTACTCCGTTGGGCCCCTGAGCAAGGCCCTTCACCCCAACTGCTCCAGGAGCGCTGTACAATGGCTGACCCTGCACTCTGACCCCCAGCTTCTCTCCCTGTCTGTGTGTCTCATGGAGAGCAAGCTGGGGGTATGCAAAAAGACAAATTCCTAATGCCAGAAATTGTATAGGGCCAATAAAGTGATCTGATCTTAAATGTAGTAGTTCAGGTGGGTAGCTGCGTCAGCATGCGTAGGCTGCAAAGGAACAGGTAATAGGTTTATTCCATGCTGAAAAAAAGAAGAGAGAAAACACCACGGCCGAAACGTTGTGTTTTCTCTCTTCTTTTTTTCAGCATGGAATAAACCTATTACTTGATCTTAAATGTAGCCCGTTTTGGAGTGCTTGTGCTGCAGTTATAACGTGTTAGTAGAAAGCACCGACACTGAAGTTAACTTCCACTCCCTTCCACACGGTGGTGATCTTGGCCTTTAACAGCGCCCTTGGGGAAACCAATTGGAGAGCTCGGGAGAAGATCTTCAGGTAAGGTGGGAAAAAAAGGAGGAGACACTCCAGGGCGAGAACGTGTGCGCGTGTTGGGAGGTTCAGATAGGGGGTCTTTCGAAAACGTGATGGGTTTCATCTCATAAACTGCAAGGCTGACCTTCACAAACTTTAGAAAGCACATGTGTGACCCGTGCAGCGTGGGGCTCGTGTCTGCGTCGCTGTAGACTCAGCAATTTAGGTAAAGGAAGGGACAAAAGGAACTGAAATGGATCTGAAAATACAAGAAGGGCTTGTGTAACTCTCCGGGCCTTGACCTTTCTGTCACGGACTTCATGCATGCCCACCAAGCCGTCGGCGTGACAATGCCGCGTTTTACAAGAAGCGTTTCGCAAATTAGGGTGTGAGATGGAGGTTTAAGGACGATGTGGAAATCGCAAACATGCTCAGAGCACGGTGCCATAAATCAGGATTGTGCTCTCTTTCCATCCCATCTCATCTCACTGGTTACA